TGGGATTTTACTGTAAAACTTCTTTATTTGAACAGCTAAAACCGATACATTTCGTAAGATATTTTATAAATAATAATACAAAGTCTACTGAGAAAATCTTCAAAATCTATGCTGTATAAGCTTTATCTCCTATAGCACTGATTGTTCAGATACCAGTTTTTGCCATATATCTCCTTTATGTAGGAAACTAAACCCAATAAATTGTGTTACCGGTTTACATACCGATCACATAGCAGGTAAAATCACTTAGATTGGTGCCATATAAAGTATATCTTCCATACCTCTGATTGTTTAGATGCGACTTTTTATATAAATATGTAACTCCCCTATCGATGTATGCAGATGTATTCAAAAGCAGTAATCTGTCAAAGTAAAATTTGCAGATGTTCATGAAAGGTATGAAGCCTTCGACATAGCCGAAGACAGCGGTGCTCTTACTTGTTTCTTAATATATTCACATCTTATTTGTATTTTTTATTTCCACTAAACGAGTTGTCCGTTAACAAGTGCATATGTATTTTTCACTTGCCAATTAATTTTTTAAACATGAAATAAAACGCTTAAGTACGGGAACACTTTTCATCCTGTGAAACAGTGAGGATTCTTTGCCCTCCTATAACAGAAAACGCACATCTGTGTTCTTCAGATTCGTTATAAGAATTGTAATTGGCTTACATGGTGCATCGGATTCATGTTGTAGTCATAGAAAAAGACTACTCACGTTTGGCTAAGATCTCGCAGGCGGATGTAAGACCATGGGTAAAGCTCATGACATCGGAAGGGATTAGTGATTCCGTATGGTATCGCATGCTACTATTCTTGGTTTATCTGTGAGAAAGGTTCTGCTCTTTATTCGTTTCAACCTAAGGTAAGGATTTTTACTTTACAAACCGTTTTGGCTTTTCAACACCATTTTTGTATTGGCCAACGCAGAAGTTCTTATCAGAGGCCGCAAAGCAAGCGAGCATTGGCCAGTTTGTAATACAAAATATTGATTTCCATTGACCGTTACTGATCGGTTTTCTTGAAAATTTTTGCTTAAAAGCGGTCACTCATTCCGCAAATTTTAAGCCTAGTCCGATAATGGGAAAATACCGGTATTTAATATTTTCGAATTTATAAATTAATGAACTGAAACTAACGAATTTTGTCCAACTCCACGCCAAAAACTTTGACTGCGTCAAATAAAATGCATTAATCAAAAATTAAAATAGTTCATTGTAGAGGAAGAAATTCTCTACATTAGTACTAAATGCAATGTACAAAAAGGCACACGGCGTATGAGTAACTCATTACACTGTAGGGAAAATCTCAAGTTTTGAAATTATACAAAAAAACGCCGAAACAAGTGAACTTAAGATTCGATCGTACATTACGGCTATGTATACCGTTTTTCCCCGGTACAGGTCATTTTCTGAAGATACATATTTTCATTTTTATGAAAAAAAATTTGAATTTTTACATGGAAAAAATTTAAAAAGTAACAAATATTTGTATTTTACAACGCTTTTATCATACGCTACAGCGGAAATGGACGATACGCCATTTCTTTAAATTAAATTAATTGGTGCTCGTATAAATGTGCATACATATATGCATGTGTGTGCACCAATCTATTAATATCGTTGAATTATTTTAATATCTATTGGGCGATTCCACCGTCACGGGTGGGACATTTGAACAGAAAAAATTGTTCTTTCTTGTTTAAATTTAAGTATAAATTACTTAACATTTCTACATTTTGATAAAGTTAAACATAATTGAATATTATATGAGTTATTACAAAATACGAAAATAATGACAGCTTACTTTTATATGGAAAAAATCGTGGTTATTTCTTCTGTCACGGGTGGGACAAAAAAAATAACCTGCTTTTAGGAGCAGATTGATTTCACGAAAACTCTGCGAATTTATTTCACTTTTCTGTGTGAACTTCATGTCTTATAATAAAACAAAGAAACACGAATGCAAACAAAGCAAAAACTACAACAAAAAGGATGGCTTTATTATTAAAAAAATACGAAATTCCTCTGTCACGGGTGGGACAACATTTGTCACGGGTTGGACGCGTACGAATTTTTATATGAAAAGGAGCTGTTAGTGTGGTCCATATTAAAGATTAGTTATTAAAAAATATAAGAAGCTAAGTATGGGTTCAATTCACTCACGTTTTATCTTAGTACTATAGGGCCTTTTATATAGAAGAAAAAGCCTAGCACCGTCAGCCAAAAAATTTACTAAAAATAAACGCGATCTCCTAGCGTCTTTAAATTTTCAGTTTTTCCAACTTAAATTTAATACGCTATAAAACTGCATACCTAGAATTTTTTCTAAAAATTATGAACAAAATGTTTAAAATTTTTGGGTGTAACTGTTAAAATTTGTTGAAATTTTTAGTTTTCTACGAAGTTTTAAATGTGAATTTATGCATGTGGTTCTGGTTATGTAATGTGCTAGACTTTTATCAAAAAAACTATGAACATTAAATAAACAAAAGAAAAAACCAAAATTGGTAAAAATGTCACTTTATTTAATCAGCTGACCACAAGTGTATATAGGTAATGGGCGAGTCCGCGCTTCTTACCCTT